ATAACTTCACTTGCGATTTCATATTTTTCTGTTTTACACAATTATTCTTAGTTGCATTGATCTAAACTAATTTTCCATATCTAAAATAAACTGCAGAAGGTTTCTAACCAAAATCAAAGCTCTTAAACGGAGGATTTGAATTCGTTAATTGCATGTATCATCATCTTCTTCCTTTTATTTTCGTTTTGTATTTCTAGGTTTGATTATCAAAAATCACATGTTAGTCTTTTAAAAAAAAAAAAAAAAAAAAACATGTTAGTCTTTAACCAAAATAACATCATCACGTATGTTAATATCACAAAGATCTTTCAATTCGACGATTGAGTGAAGAAGTGATCACGTGAATGAGATCTTTCAAACACCAATTTCAACCAAGATTTTGGTCTTCTTTTTGCTTTTACAATGTGCGATAGAACTTTTTATTCCGATCCTTTATTCATCTAATTATTAAATTCCTATGATTTGGTAAATTAAATAGAAGACAAAAAAAAAAAAAAAAGGAAGAGGGCTTTTAGATGGTTGGTTCTAATACGAAAGACACGAAGGAAGTCATGTCTTGTCCATTTTGACAGAAAGCGTTTCAAAGCCAAATTGATGGGCTTGATTTGATTTTTAAATCATGAATCTGTTACTTCAGAACAATTTATATACAATTATTATAGCCTACTTATACTCTAGCTTGTCTTTTGTTTCTTGTAGGTCTAAGCATAAATAAACCCTACCGAAGAATCTTTAGACCAAATCATGAAACAAGAGATAGCACTATTCTTGGATGATTATATATGTGTCCTGGTTCAAAAAATGTGATGTGTGTCGAACGGATTGTCAATAGCGTAGATCGAGAAATTACATTACTGTTTGGGTTTGTTATTGAATCGAACACGTAAAAAAAAAGAATGCTAAAACGAATAATTATCGCATCTTCAACAAATATCTATAGAAACTATACTTCTTGAAATTTGCTAACCTTTATTTTCTTGTATTTATGTGAAACTCTTTACTTTCAAATTCATTTTAAAAAACAATAAAATATAAAAAATTTTAAAAAAATTTAACGTAACAATGAAGTAAATGGAAAATAAGAATCTAACAATGAGGTAACATAACATATCACTTTTCAACAATTTTATTTGCTTTCAACTCTTATAAGACGCGTGATTTTTTTGTAACATGTTATTTTGCTATGTGTACGTCTAATTTATCAAAGAAGGTTTACACGATTTAAGTTTTGTCACTAACCTATATGCGGATTGGCGAATGCATACGTATTTCCACCATTATATAAGCGTCTAATTCATTAGTTTTGAGCTTCTAGATATTATTCATCATGCTATATATACACATATAATAACACTAAATTTTACATTCAACATACATTATACAGTTTTACCTAAATATAAACTCAAGAATAATTAAAAGTTTAAAAAGTATTTAATATACTTTTTATATCATTTGTTTTAATCTTCTTTCTTGTCATCTACCTAATTAACTCGATCGTAAAAAAACGAACAAATGCATCCCTAACATTGACTTACCAGTGGACTGACTATGAAATTTCATCAATTATTACATGGTCCTTGCTAAATGAAGTTATAGCAAATTTCCAATATACTGATTGATATGTCGTCTTGACGAAACAATATTGGGTAGTGTTAAAAGGTTAGTTCCATCGATACTCCACTTTGATAACAAATAACAATTTGCCATTTGAATTAGATCCAGCGCAAGAATACTTGTTATGGGTCAAAAACTAATTATTCAATAAAGTTAAGCACCATATTCTAAATATCATGTACTAGAGTCTCTAGACATTGACACTTTCGCTATGTATCAGACAAAAAATCTAGGCATTACGAATATCTCTATTTAAAAGCGAATCTTAGATTGTCTTTCAAATCTAAAACAAATCAAAACCATCCATAGCTAGACACAAAAACATGAATCTCTATTTTGTCGACTTGATCGTATGTAATTTGGGAACTAACCCAAATGAAAAAGAAAAGCAAGTGATTGTGAGTTTTGTTGCTTTTTTTTTTTTCAAGTCTGGATTTATTATTTATTGCAAATTATGAGAACTGTTGTATAGATGTTTATACAACGGATAATTCTTTTCGACTCTTATTAGATCTACGACAGACTACACTTCCTCCTTCATGCTCTTGACGAATATTTTTAATGATCCACGACCTGACGACACTTCCCTCTCTGCGTAGAATCCTGGCAAACGGCTATAATTGTATATCATTGGAGATTTCTTGCACACTTGCCTCCATTAATCTGCAAATTTATTAATACATCGCACTATCTGGGACTCGAACCCCAGACATCTTGGTATAGAAGTATTAATTAACATTTGGTCAACCAATGGGCCAAAGGGGTTTCTACAAATTTTGTTGCTTTGTTTATAATTTTTCGTTATAACCATAAAACTTTTAGTATATGATTTTTGAATACAAGACCAATTCGAAAGATTCAATGGATCCGCAAAACACAACATGTTATTTTCCTCAAATATAATACTTATGTTTGAATGTGTTACCCAAATTTTAAAACATTATATATGGATTTTTTTTTTTTTTTGTTACTGGATCGGCAAAGCCCGATCTAAAATTTAATCTCTACTAGGTAACACGACCTAGTAGAGAACTACGATGGACCGTTAACCACTTGATTAAAATCACTTCCCACGTTAAATATGGACTCTAGAAAGATGATTTTATTTTTTAGTAAAATAAAATACTGCTTTCATTGTAAATTAATTATTGTTTTATCATTGTTTGTTTGTTTCAAAATAAATGTCATTTTGAATTTTAACATAAAATTTGCATAAGATAAATAATTTAACTAAAAACAATACAAAATAGAATAAAATGCCAAAATTCAACTTATTGAAATTATTACAACGACACTTAATATAAAACGGATAGAATATTTTTCATATATAATTTCGAATATTGTGATATTATCTTTCTCACTGACTTGTCAATTAATTTTTCCCAATTTAAGTGAATCTCTTTCATTTGTTAAGACTGGGAAACTAATAAGAATCAAACCCATAAAAAAAGTTATTAAGTTTAAGATGTGACTGTAATTACTACTTAATATTCTTCTCGGTTTACATGTGGTCTTCCATCATCTAGCATAGTGCGGTTGTTGGTCTAATCAACAGATCAAGTAAAACTTAGCTTTACTTCTTTGTTAGGAGAATCGTGCATTATTCTCTTTACTATGAAAATATCAATTTTATTGTTTCAGCTCCATCATTTTTATGTGTAAATTTATAATTTAATTATATTGCGGCAAAATCCGTTGCTCGATATAGAAGGTTTTTTTTTTCGTTCACCCAACTCGAGAAATAGGTTAACTTTGGTTTTTTTTCGGTTTAGAAAACACCGGACTTTTATGTGACCGATTGGCTGATCTAAAATTTTTTTTTTGAGCCGGTTCGATAATACAATATCTGGTTGGCCTCAAAATATATAATACAGTTTGTCACTTTAGTAATAAATTCGGACTATTTTCCATTTGTCATTTTGTTCACTAAGTTTTGTATACCTAAATAATATATACTTGGTTTTGGCCAATCAATATTATTTTAAAAATTTTAGGTTGAACAGAACTAAATTATTGTTGAACAATACCATACCCGACCTGGTGACCTGGTTGGTAGATTTGACCGACGTAATTGAGTAAAAAATAGATGGTTCTCATCGCCCAGGCAAAGCAAATATTCATAAATATCAAATTAATTAGTCAATTGACATAGAGATATTTTGGCTATAAACGAATTATTCAACGGCAAAGATACTGCAGCTCTAATGTCTTTTTATTATTCCTTTGTTACTTTTAGTAAAATAGAAAGTTGGGGCTAATATTATTGGGGCTAACCATTCACTCTCAAGAAAAGGTAATCAAGATATGTACCACGAGTCCACGACCATAAAACTACTGTTTTAATTTAACTGGTTTGTGTGTGAGTGTGTGTATGTGTGTATCTTTTTATATAACGATATGATTTGTGTTTGATGAATTTATAGGGTTTTTGTGTTTCTTTTTCTATTACAGAGAACTGGTTTGATGAATTTAGACCCCTATTATATATACTTTATTCAAGATCTATGCTGCATTGTTACTACATAAATATTTTTTTTTTTTATCAATTCATAATTCTTTTTTTTCTTTCACACGTTACTGTCTAAAACAAATTATAACAAGTTACGGTAATTCTGTTACTGTAAAAAACAATCGAACTAATAATAATTTCTTCGGATTGCGTCTTATATTATATACTACTAAGATAATATCTCTTTTTAAGTGTGTACTATTATTAAATTTAAAAAATGGTAAAACAAAAGAATAGTTGCATAACAATAATTGTCAAAAAAAAAAAACAATAATTGGCAAAGGAAGGTGAGAGGGAGGTAGAGAGAAAAGCTGAGGAATCAATGTACTCTAAGAAATGTACCTTTGTGTACAAACTACAATATATGTGGAAGCATAATATCATCCACATATTGTTCTAGATTCTACAGCTGGCTCCAAATCTTTGATCTTATTTAATTAATCTCAATATATATTATCATTTTTACTTGATATTTAATATAGTAAAAATGTAACAAAGTAAAAAAGAAAAGAAAAGACATATTGACTGCAAAAGTCCATAATTTTATTAGATTAAGGAGTTTCTGATTTTGTGATGGTTTGTAGTAGCTATAACTGTTTAACCAACGGAAAAGTATTGAGGAATTGTTAGTGCAAGCACTTACTAAGCTAGAGGTAGATACATGAATGATGAATCATTGTTTAGCGTAAGATCTTAATATTCACTAGCTAAACTAATCATACCAATGTTAATATATTAGTGCTTGAGATGTTGTTCTTGATCATATGTCATTTACTTAGGGATTCTTTGTTAGAGTATAGTAGAAATAATCATAAAATAATGTTCAACGTACATAAAATAGGTGAAAATCGCATATTATAAACTTTAAGCTGTCGAATTCATTTAAGATACTAATGTAGAGAATGATTTTAAACTACATATAAGACATTTTATAAACAAATCATCGTAAGGATAATCATTAACACAAACAAAAAAGCAAAGACATATACATAGAAACCAAACTAAATCATCCCCTAGGCCTTCTTTCATTCATCATCATCATGATCATGGTGATTAGGACGATGATGACTAGTCATGATGAGATTGACAAGGAGGGAGAGTTTGGCGTTCGGATTCAGAGACACGAGAGGCATGGAACTTGGCGATGAAGGCCGAAGCTTTACGGTCAATACCTGGCTCAGCCACCCAATAACGCTTGTCCTCGTCGCTGGCCCATGCCTTTCTTGTGTAAACGACATCGTCCCATGATGCATCAGCTTCAACTCTATGATGAGACGATCTTCTTGCTTTAAAGAAGCTAAAGAGCGAGAACTTCTTTCTGCTATGACCTCCCATGAGAGACAGGACAAGAACAGCAATTTAGATTAAAGGAAAAGAAATGTAAATTTTGTAAGGTTGTGTGTAATTAATTTGATGTGTTTATGAGATGGGTTTTGGGATGTATTTATAGGATGCTTGAGCCAAAACAGCCTTTTGTGGGGGTTCTTTTTTGGGTCCGGTTTGGTTCGAATCTTGGTTGGTCCTTTTTAGAAGTTATCAAACCGAAATAAAGTTTGGTTTCGTTAGTGTTATTTTGTTTACGTTGTCCCACATGCTTTTTTATATATCGCCTGTAATTATTTGTACCTATTTTTTTATGAGAATATGTTTATATAGTTAACAAAGTAGATATCTATAAATAACTTAGGTGAATGATTATTTTGGTGAACATGTCCAACCTCTCGTCACCTTCTCTCTATTTTCAAACTATTTGTTAATTGAATAATGGATATATATTTGTTTGTTTTTGTATTCTTAAATGTGTTCTTCATCTTCGTCCATCGTTTTGAATATACAACAGTTTTTTTTTAACTCTGACTATACAATAGTTAAAAAAAATTTTTAAAACAAACAAAAATTACTACATAAATATATATGTGCTTCTAAATGAAAACATTGCCGATCGAGCCATATATATTAACAACAACAAAAATGCCGAGTCATATAATGTTATAGAAAATGTAAAAATAACGTATAGGGTTTCATATATGTTATGTATAGCCTACTATACGTGTAATTAGGATATATTACGTACGTATAGTTTCACGTAACATTATGAATTCTAAGTTTGTCTAACACTACATGTTATATATGAAACTATAATACTATATGATTTCTGTTCCCCGAAAAACTACATAATACTACATGTTATATATGAGACTATATTTATTACAAACAAACGATGAGCACTATACAAATCTAATAATAATATCAATCCAAATAAATGTTTTAATGGATTGCGTCATTTAATCGTAACTGCTTTTGTAATATATATATATATATATATATATATATTTTTTAATAGTTTGAAAAATATCTTTTACGGTTGTATTTTCTTTGAAAGTTGTATCTGTTTATTTAAAGTTATGTCTTTTCACTATGTTTTTATTAGTGTTTTGCATCCCAACTTTTCGTTCTAATAGTTGTATTTTTAACAAAATATTGTGTATATTTAAACGTTCATATCTTTTTAACTCTACATATATTTTCTCTGTTTTTAATTAAAAAATTGGATATACTTATTATCCTCTATATATTAAAAGAGAGAGTTTGGTGCTTATATGTCAAGTCCACAATTATTTTCATTTTGTTACTTGATATATCTTGGATTTTACCGTTTTAGCCATGATATATGTGTCAGTTTTAGAGTCTTTTTATTGTTTCGAGTGCTTTTTGAGTCTTTTCAGATTTTTACACGTTCGAGACAAATTCGGAGATAATGAACCATTCTGGAGGTAAACGGGAGATTAAGAGCTGAATGAACAAATTCGGTATCAGACCAATACATGAGTGTCGATCGACACCCCCTAGTGTCGATCGACACCACACGAAGCCTAGCAAAAGTCTCGACGGTTTAGAGTTTTAAAACCCAAAGAATCAACCCAGAAGACTTCCCTATTTGTAACTTTAGTCTCTAAACGTTTTTAGAGACAATATAAATAGTTTTTAGGGTTTTATTTATCTTGTATCTTGTTTTTGGCTTTGTAATCCTCTGAGCTTGAACCCTTTAGAAGATAATTGGAGAGAGCTACTTTTAGAGATTTCAAAATCCTATAGAGAGAAGATTTATTCTAAACTCTTTTCATCTTTTGATTTATTATTTGTAATTTATTCAAACATGTTTTTTCGTTTCATTAATCATGTTTGAGTAATCACCCTGTTAGGTTTAGGGATTCTCATTAGGGATCTAAATGAATTTTGTAGATCGATTACCTGTTAGGATTAATCTTTAGAGTTCTTCACCTTAGGTTGTTTTTAATGCTAGTTCTAGAGTAGCTAACTAGAATCTGATCTTAGGATAATAGGTTAGATCCGAGAGGACGCCTGTTACTGGAACTATCTTAGATGGACAGAAATTACTAGATTCGGACAAGAGTTGGTCTAGGAATCTTTGTGAACATATCAAACCGGAATTTAGTGCTAGTCTAATTTTAGGAGTTTACAAACGAGAGTTGAAACTTCGTGCTATTAGGTTTAGTTAGTCAATTCAGGCTAGAGTTAGTTGACTCTAGCTTTGTGTTTTGATTCATGTTTATATCACTACAAGAAAACCTGCGTTTTGCAACTAAACTTTGCGACCAAACTTTTAGTCGCAAAATTGTGTGACTATTTTGTGACTATTTTGTGACTAATGTACGACTGTTTACCGACGAATTCAAACACAGTTGGAATTTAGTCGCTATTCGGCGACTAAAACAAATAATCGGTAATTAGTCGTTCATTAACGACGGTTGTACGTCCGATTGCAGACTAATTTGTTTCAGTCGCAAATAAGTCGCATCCGATTGCACATGTGCGACTGATTTGCGACTCAAAATTTGGTCTGAAAATATGGTCGCACTTTAGTTACGCTTTCGTTGCAAACTAGTTGGAAAAAGTTGGCTCTTTTGTTGAACCTATAACACTTTTATTGATGTTTTGCAATTTAGTAAAATATCTATATTACTTGAGTTTTGCAAAGTTTTTCAACCTTAAACTAATATATGTCCTCTATAACACTAATATGAGTGTTTGTGAGTGATATATATCAGCCTTTTGGATCAATATAATAGATAACAGTCACAAAACAGTCGCAAACGTGCCACCATTTTGTAACAAGTGTTCATTTAGCGACTATTTTGCGACTAATATTGCAACTATTGGCTGACCAATATTATGACTATTTTGGTACTAATTGTGAAATTTCTAAAAATTTTGCTAAGTGTTTGGTCGAACTTAGTAATAAGATTCATGCACATCAAGTGTTCGTTAAAATGTCCTAACCAATGACATCTACAGATCCATTTTAAAACCAAATTCAATTGATGAAAATACTACAAGACAATCTCATAAATATTACAAGTTCAAGTTGGAGTTGCTTAAAGTCTCATAAACAATATTACATTACAACATTACACAAACTAGAATTCTTATGCAAAGAAGACATAGTACACCATAGCCATGACCAAACCACCACACACAACCATATTTTTGAAGCTTCGTAACTCTTGTACCTCTTTCTCACACAAACTGACGACATCTTTGAGATATACAATCTCTTTCTCACATCTTTGTGCCCTTTCTTTGATAGCTTCAAGCTCATGTAATCCTTTTGCTAAGCTTCCCACATCTCCTTCTATCTTCTCAACCACACTTTCAACCATTTCCATCTCTTCGACCATGGATATGTCGGTCCACTTAAACAAATGATGCTTATTCTGCAACAAAAATACACTCATGAGGACAATTTGCATATGTTCATACAACTTGAGAGCATATTATAACCAAAAAGATCACATTTTTACAACGTACAACAAAACCTAAGCAGCTAGAGAATGTGAAACTAAGATCAACGTATACAAATTACGAAAGGTGAGAGATAAACCAATGTCTCGAAGCAAGATCGAAAGCTAAACGCAAATTCAAATCAAGAGAAGCTTTGTGTACCTTAAGATTCTATAACTTAAGAAAACATTACCTCACCAATATCTCGAAGCAAGATCGAAAGCTAAACGCAAATTCAAATCAATAGAAGCTTTGTGTACCTTAAGATTCTATAACTTAAGAAAACATTACCTCCTCTGATCCGTTTGGACAACAATGAAAGAGTCTCCCCGGATTTTAATTTCAAAGTGTTTGAAGTCTTAATCACAGAGAATTGACCACATTTACATTGTCTTGGGATCCCTCTTCCTCTCACAGAGAACCTATCGCTCACACCTTCACCAATCCGCAAGAAATTAAGTATCTATCAAAATCTACATAAAATCAAACCCACACCTTACATTCTCGATTACTGACCTGAAGAAGCTGATGAAGACATCGGGATCAACACTTATGAAGCTCAGCAGAAATTGGGATCTTTAGAACCCTAGCTTTTCCAAAATCCCCAATTCGATTTTATGTCGCAGAGTTGAAGAAGAAGAAGACTAAATGAGATGACTAAACGACGTCGTTTTACCCATTTGTCTTTCCTTTAAAATAAGTCGCAAAACGGTCGCACTTTTGCGACCGTTTTGCGACAAACGTATATTGAAACGTTTATTCTCCACCAATTATCTCTTAGTCGCTAACTAGTCGGTCATTTGCGACTAGCACCTGAAGATTTTGCGACTGTTTTGCGACTAGCACCTGAGATTGCGACTCATATGCGACTATTTGCCAACTCTCGATTTTTGTTTTCTCACTTTTCACATTTTAAATTTGCTTACATATAAAGTTAAATATTTCTACACTTATTTGATATTACTCATCAAGAAAATCTTAACCAAAGTCATAAATACTGATGTTTAGAAATAAAATATCAAAAACAAACAAATCTCTTTATGATATTACATTACTCATATGAGTAATGTTTAGGGATTTAGTAAAAACTCTACATTACTTGAGTTTTGCAAAGTTTTGTAACCTTAAACTAATATATGTCATCTATAAACCTAATATGAGTGTTATAGAGTGATATATGTCACCATTTTGGATCGAAATGTGTAGATTTCAAAATTTTTCCTTGTGACTAATAGATCACAGTCACACAACCGTCGCAAATTTGCCACCATTTTGGAAAGACTTGCATGTTTGCGACTATTTTGCGACACGTTTTGCAACTATTTACCGACCATAATTGCGACTATTTTGGTACTGACTGTAAAATTACCTGAGTTTTGCAAAGTTTTGTAACCTTAAACTAATATATGTCCTCTATAACCCTAATATGAGTGTTATAGAGTGACATATATAACCATTTTGGATTGAAATGTGTATACCTCTCCTTTTGCGTTGTGACTATAGATTACAGTCACACTCTAGTCGCAAAGTTGCCACTATGTTGGAACTGTTTACCATTAAGCGACTATATTGTGACCATGTTTGCGATTATTTGCCGACCATTATTGCGACTATTTAGGTATTAAATGTGAAATTTCTAAGATGTGTTTTAATATAAGTTATTTTTATTATGATGAATGAATTTTAATATAAGTTATTTTTATTTGTTTAATAAATGTTTAAAGATGTGTTTTGTAAGATATTCAAGCATGTGTGTTTTATTAAAAAAAAAAACAAACAAAAAATCAAAACATAGTCTCAGATTATATATATAAATATTTATACCATATTACCGATTAAGTATATTGGCAATTTGGTAATATACTTCCCTTAGGACTTATAGGACACCGGATCGAATCTACCCAACTTTTTTT